AATTCCAATTGAAAAGCAAACGTTAATTGCCGATTGATGTTCAATTGAATTGAAGATTTAATTTCTTATTGACGAGTTTGTTTCCCAGATACCTCATTATTGTTGTGTACATTGTACATCTTTTAATATCAAATTCTACTTTACACAAGAATTGAAATATTACGGAAAGTGAACCCAATTTTTCTGCATAAAATAAAAATGCCAAGATCTTTCATCATTCATTTATTAAACATACAAGGCAGACTTGGGATGTACAAAGGGGAAAGATGTATGAGAAAGGAACATTATAATAAGTCTTATCATAAAATAAAACAAAAATATATTCACTAATGATCGTTTTAATGAGTTAATTATGTTTTCTTTTCCTGGATATCTTCCCTTAAATGTGTACCATCACAGAAGGGTCTGTTTGACGTTTGTTTGCAGTTACATAGCCAGTAATCTTTGCTTTCCGTAACTGTGAATATGATCGGCCTTTGTTTAATTTTAAGAAACTGATTTCTGTGAGTGCCATCACAGAAGGGTTGTCTGGCACTTTTACCGCATAAGCACCACGTGTACTTTTTTCCAGCTGTGCAGAAGTATTTGAAAGGTTTATTGTCGTATATGGAACCATTCACGGTTTGATCGTTGGCGCTAAAATATTTCTTCAAAGGATTTGTAGGGATTTCAGTGTCATCTTTCACTTTCGTGCAATAATATCTGGTCTGAAACACATCGACATCGTTCTATTATTAAGAAACGGAGAACTGACATTAAAATGACTGACATGAGATTATTAATATTTGTTTTTCTTCTCGAATTTTTCTTATTCACTGAATAATACGAATAAATATGTATTTACATATTATATTATTAAAAATGCGTTTTATTCGGAGTGTAGGTTAGTTCAAATGGGTTAGGGCAACTGTGGCAATTGCAAAAATGAATGTACAACGTGATGTGTACTTTATGTAATTCTTAACTTACATTCCGACATTTCAAAATATTTGAATGTATAAATCGTGGTACTTTCTCCAGAGTTAATTGCATACTTGTTGTATTCGTGTTCCGTTCTATCTTATGGTCCTATAGCAGTGTTGTTGGGCACCCCGTGGGATTTTTTTAAGCAGGCGTCTAAAAGACATGCGTTAATGACGTCACAGCTAGAGATGTCATGTGACCGCAATCCCGCGTATGTTTAATGATGTTTAACTTTCGACGGAATTGGGTGCTAAAAGGGATCTGTATGATTAAAATAACGTTTGCGCAAAATGATTGACCGATTCTTAGAAGGCACGACTCCTGATTTCCATATTCATTCCCTCCCGCATTTATCGATAATCGGGTAGGATTTTTGGATCATTCCAAAGGAAATGACAAGTTGACCATTGACTTTAAATACCCACACCTAGGATTGCTCATTCGGTCATCTCGTCAAGGATCGTGAAATAAAAATTCTAAGATTCGTGTCAATTAATTTATTAATTAGAATATAGTCAACTAAACGTTCTTCTACTAAAATCAATTTCCTCTGTTTCGAATCTAATTTATAGTAAAGATGAATAATCCTGATTAATAAATTAATGGAAATGAATATTGGCATTTTTATTTCATGTACTTTGTCTAAATTACTAATCCCCGTTTCCAAAATCCAATTTTTCAGCGAGGTACATACAAGAGTCTATATAGATTAGAATTTTTATACCTCAAATTGTACATCGATGTATCAATAATTTAATGTATGCTTTATTTTGTCGCTATCGGAGTCTATATCATTAATTATTCATCTGAGCTAAATTTATTCCACTTTCCTATATGAACTGTATATTGTATAAATTATATAGAGTGTTCAATCGAACCTATCTATTATTAAGGATGTATTGGCTATATAGTCAATCCCAAAAGTTTATGCACTTTAGAAACGCATTTTTATTCCGACGTCTGATTTCTTTTTAATTATAGGAAATGCGTTTTTTTAAGGTACATAAACTTTTGGGATTGATTGTATAGCCAATACATCCTTAATTTAGCGAATCAATAAAAATTTTAAAAATGTGAGTACACCAGAACGTGACGTTTGCGAATTCGCAGGCTAAAATGCCTGTCGATTTTTTATTGATTTTGATTCAGTTTTACATGTAGAAGGTTACAATAAACCTGTAATGTTCCGTAAAAATAGAACAGTAAAATCTTTGTACAAAATAATTTTAATAAAAATGTATATAAGGACTGCACGTATTTTTTTTCTAAGTGATCACCTAATTATAAAAGAATTTTAAGTGTAAGAAATCTTGACAGGAAAATGAAATGTGATCATATAGGAGTAAAACTTCAGTAAGTATGGAAAATGTGAATACAAAATTTCTATTGAATAGATTGTGGATTTAATGGATTTATAGAAAGATAGTATGTAAAGAAAATATAACATTAAGTGTTTAATGAAACAGAAAATATCAGAAGTGAAATCCATGTTATGATTTTCGAAATACAAAAGAAATTCTTATTTAGATTTCGCTTTCTAGATTGACGTCACAAATAGTTCATTTCGTATAAAGATCCTCAATTGTAAGATAGTTCGCTTTATAATTTTTTGGATCTTTGGGGTAAACTCGTATGACCACCCCTTTTTATAATAATAAAAAACAAAAAGATGTTTTAAATTTTTATTAGAGGATCGAATAAAAAGTAAAAAATTCGTACCGTTTACTCCTTTCTTCATAAATCTGAGCTATGTCATTTTCTTTAATTTTTTATTACAAATCATACACAAAACTAATCTCTTTAACACCTAAAAAAACACTGAATTCGTCAAGTCCAATGTTAAAAAAATTATTCAATTTTGAAACATATACGAATATTTACGAATAGTATTTCACTCTATGTATATAGTTTAATCAGAATAAATTGATTATAAAATTGAATGAACAGCATCCCCATTAAAAACCGTCAGTATTAATATTCCATCCCCACAGTTGAATTTTGCAATTATTATGAAGATTTCGAGAACTCGATTGTCGAGGAAAATGAGAGTGCCGCCTCAGGAACGGTTTTTACGGCCCTGGATGCGCGGGTATAGAAAAGCGTGCACGGGAACACCCGCTATCGATCAGTCGCGTGTTAGTCCACCGTGACATGGAGGATCTACTGCTGCAGATCGTCCGAGAATCGAGCAATGCAAAATTACAAAACTTGCGTAAATCGGCGCAGGAAGCTTATGGTACGTCGATCTCGAAACCTTAAACCTTTTTTCATACTTTACACCATAGAACAATATCATTAGATACATCTTTTAAATTAAAAATGACTAATCAGCGCAATTATACTTCACACCTTGATTAAGCTGTCAATTAGAATACCGTGTAAGAGAAAGCATTTACGTGTTACTGTCTTAAAAAATATGTTCATTTTATTGAGGGATTAATCGGATTGACGCGATTTTGTAGACTTTCTGGATAAGCAGCAGGGGTTGCTACGCGATCCGCCCCACGAGCTGCGTGGAAAATGTCTACACACGTTTCAGCTAGCGCTCGAAACGAAGAGGAACAAGTTCGTCGTCCTCGGTTTGCTGGGATTACACGTGAGTGTTTCCTTATTGAATAATTCTCATTCCTGAAAACCATATGTATCGCGCTTTCGATGTGCCGCGTATACGTGTGACTGACGCATCCGCTCGCGGAAAGGACTTCGCGATAAAGCGACCGATAATTATAATGTTCGAACTGAGACCTGTGACGTTTCACACC